TTTGTCTCGATACTGTAATAAAAACCGCCATATAGCACATTGGTTGAATTACAATATAAATTACTATAAATGATGTTACGCCTATTGTAATGGCAACATGAGTTTTAATCGGTGAAGGACAAATAGGTCTTGGAAAAATAATCAGAAATTTTCATTTATCACGAGTAAAAAACACATAAAAAAGAATAAAAAAATCCCTTCTGTTCCAATATTAATTAACACTACTACTTTAATATCGTTACGGTTGATTACATTCCTCCAATGTTAACGATTCAATCTTCGACATTGATAGTCTATCCTAAGCCTTTCTTCCTAACTATACGCTCAATCCTTGCTTTAGTAAGAGATCTCGAATCTTTTGACACCCTTAAATACGGTGGCCGATAGGGACAAAACAGAATCACAAAACACAAAACAGAATCGCAAACTGACGCAAAACAAATCACAAAACAGAATCACAAAACACAAAACATAATCACAAAACGCAAAAACAGAATCAAAAAACACAAAACAAAATCGCAAAACCTAAAACGGAATCACAAAACGAAAAACAGAGTTACAAAACAGAAAACAGAATCACAAAACCCAAAACGGAATCACAAAACACAAAACAGAATGAAAGAAAAAACATCCGAGTCCATGAAAACATGCTCCGCCACTTTAGGCTCGGCGACCGACCGCTTTTCGGGAAATAAGCCTGCGCTCTTAGTTTCAGTTCTACTCTTCTCGGAGTGGAAGGAGACTGCACTCGAGAAAACGGAGGAAATCAAACTAGCAAACATTGAGAGAACTGAGAGTGAGTTCGCTTCATGGAATCCGGATTCTGGAATCCAAGAAATTTTTGCTTGTGGAATCCGAATTCTGGGCTTTGGATTCCGGAATACAGCTCAAGGAATCCAGAACCCCACTAACGATTGAAATCCGGAATCCACGGCGTGGAATTCAGAATCCAAGAATATCTTGGAATCCCTTACATGAAAGCAGCAACATCAAAAAAGAGGATACGACAAAATCAAGGTTCTGACTTGCTTTTTTCCTCGCAAAAGTTAAATAAATTTCAATTTCAGTTCAAAACACTAACAAAAGATTAACACTTGCACTTTAAATCGATGATGAAAAGAATTTGGCATCCCTCTGCATTCTCAGAATGGACCGGATACACACAAATATTGACCTTGTAACTGAAGACTTCAAATCAAAGAACTAACATCGACTCAAAGTCAAGATCTTCGCGAGTATTCATTGAACTTTTCCATATTTTCTTTGCGTCGAAAGAGTGAAGAAATCCTGGTTATGCAGCGCTAGTCTTTTCGTACAATATTCAAAAGGCCCTTTCAAAAAGGTTAAGTTATCATTCCTCTCGTATTTTGTTTTTTTATAAATGCCATCCTCATCTGTTTTGGTCCTTTACTGATTCTACATGTATGTCATGTAACTATGCTTATCCCGATATGAATTAAGAGAACGGATAATGTAGTCTGTAGCCCGCACAAAGTCTACACCGCGGGAGATTTCGACAAGACACGTACAATTTTATGGGCAAGAGACCGACCACAGATATACACCCCCTTGAAGAATTCCTATAATTATATCACGCATCATCATCCATATCAGTATTGTCGTTCGGACTACAGAATCAAAAGTTGGAAAGTGCACGCTACAAAGAAGGTGGCTAGGTTTGGAAAGCAAAGAGGCGAAATAGCAGGTAACTTGAGGTTTTGCATAGAGGTGCATAGTAGTCTGTTCGTTTTTCGGACATGTTTCGGGTATCAGTTAAACCTTCAGCCATTTTTCAGTCATCAGTCGACTATTTGGACCTCTGACCTTATAGGCTATAACGCAGTTGAGACCGTTTATAAGTTATCGGTTACTATTTTATACTAAGCCTCATTTTTTTAAACATGTACTCCATATTTCCAAAGATCAGTTTCACTTGAGACAAGTTAATTTTGCAAAAGCAGCATGCTTAGGTTCTTCGATTTGTACCATAGCTTCACACAATTGGAAGTAAATCTTTTAGGCAATTCGAAGTTTGGGAAATAGTGAACTACCCTTGGTCTGTCCGAGGCTAGGTCGCTCGATTACCAACCGCTTTATGGAAGAGATGCTAGCCACGATAATCCACTTGCGTGTGATTTTCCGGGGAAAAAAACTTTCTCACGTGACATATCACGTGACTTCATGCAACGTTTACTGCGCTTTTAATCTTCTTAGGTTATCGAGATCTTTATGAGTTCCAAATACGCTCTTCTCACGTATGGTAATATGCCCGTCCAACCTCGTTTTTGAGTAAAAAGTCCTTTGAAATGCTAATCAGACGACGTTTTCGTATTTGAATTTCAAAAGAATTTTTACCCGTAAACGAGGTTAGACGGGCATATTACCATACGTGAGAAGAGCGTATAACGAGTTATTTTCATCCTCTTTGCCGACACTTTTTTTCGTCTTTATCCGTGGAGGAAGACAACTGTACTAAGGTCAACCTTACGTCAAGTTTTTTGGCTTCAGTAAAAAAAAACATTTATGCTGTAAAACCTAAACATTCCTTCCTTTTTTCTTGTTCCCGAGTACGCCAAAGTATCTTTAATTGTTGTTTTGTTACTGTTTTCATTTAAAGCTTAGGAAACTTGAAACTTGAAACTTGAAAGCATACATCTCCCGCCCAACGTCCGCGGGTACCAACGATCGACTGTTGAGTACTGAGAAATGCCATTAGTATTCATATCGACTTATGGCCTGATAATTGTTTCCTGTGGCGTCCAAAGGTTTGCTTAAAACCTTGGCAAATTCTACAATTGACCTCTAAGTATCCCTAGCATGACTTTAACGAAGCGGTAGATTTATTAGTATAATCCCCTGTAATTTTATTTTCGCCTTTTCAGTACTAATTAGGTCTCCTTTAATTGATCTTGTTAGTCTGTTAGTATGCACGTGTGCACGTGCTTCAGTAAAAAGGGTTTTGGCCTTTAACCTGCAGGTGCCAAGAGTAAGAAAATTATGAACACAGGTAAAATTTGCTGTAATGGGAATGTCTGCATAATAGTGCCAACGGAATTATGGCCGGTGAATGCTATCATGCACTGTAACAGTAAAGTGATTCATATCGATTATTGCAACTTCCAGTTTGCTTTATGTTAAAACGGCGGATGTCATCGATATGACGTCGGTGTGGCGTCATTCATTTTGACCATGACAATCAAGTGATTGGGGGACCATAAATTCACCTCACACTTTGTTGTTTATAACTGATTCTTGCTTACAAATCAACTGATCCATCCTTGAAGCAAACGCAAATGTTAATAAACATGACTCAACCAAATCATTCAAGAAATAAATGTAAATTAATAACGAAATTATGAGTTCACATTTTACTACTACAAAGTGAACTACGATTCTTTGATAAAATGAATGGGTGCCTCATTTTGTGTAAGTTTGGTTGCTTATTGAACGTGGTCAGCCTCCGAAGCGCACTGAAGCCCCCTTCCCATCCCCCACATCCCGATCCCCCACCCTCCGTCTCCTTTCCCCTAACATGCCCCAAAAGCAGCTCCCTTCCCTCCATCCCCAACCCAAATTGCTTGGAATAGATTGCAATTGAAAGACTTCATAGTTGGCACTTGAAAAACAGCGAGAATTACTTTCTGTGGTGTTCGCTTTCCTATCAAATTTTCCGGAATAATGCCAATTTTCTCTTATTGGCCTTAACCATCGAATAGCTTCACGAACGTAACTTTTTTTAGAGAAAACATTCAGTGAATCGTTGCCGGCTATACTTAGAAACGCAGTCGCCATTAATAGAATAAAACTGAAAAAAATAATAGTTCACAGAGTAAGCAGAAAAAAAAAGAAGAAAAAAAGGTTTCAGACCATTGGCATTTCACGTGGGGGTAATTTACGTTAGTTTATATGTCGAGTTAGATAATCCAAATGTCTGTGTTCTGGGGCATTAAGTTGTGAAAGCCCTTTGGCTCCTGTCTGGCGAGTGGCTAGTTATAATTATGGTTCTATCAACCCTAAATTTAGCAAAATTCCAAAATTCCATTTTGTAAAATATTGAAAAACAAGTGGTACTATAACAAAATGCCCCAAGACGCACGAGCTGGTATTTGCGAAGTCGTTGGCTTGGCTTGCCAGTCGCTTGGTTAGTTTGTTTACGCCCCAGAAATTAACCTCTGCACGTAGGGACCAAATACGTTTCATTTGAATGTTATGTCATTAGATTTCCTTCACAGAATTAAAATTTTACATGAGGTTAAGGCAGCCATATTGATGTACCATAACAATGAAAGGGCAGCCATGCGAGTTAAAACGTGACGCACGTGAGTGAAAACGGCTCCTTGAGACCCGGTAGGAGGAGGGGGGATGGGGTGGGGGGAGCGTGCCGCCCTAACGGGTATGGTTTTTGGGCCTTTTTGGTCTGAAAAGGGGGATACACTTTGCCTATTTTGGTCTGAAATCGGGTATGGTTTTCGAGGGAACTACGGAGGCGTATGAACATAGTTATCCTTTCAATTCCAAATGAATAAGAACGAAATAGAAGTATGCGAATTGCATCTGAAATCTTTTGTTTTCGTTTGCGCTCTTATCTAAGTAATGATATAATTTCTGCCTTAAGGCCAGCTCTCAAAACGGGTATCGATTTTAGAGGTCTGGTCTGAAAACAGGTGTGGAAAATTACATTTTTTGGTCTGAAATAGGGTGAGGGATTTGGAGAACCGGGCGACACACACCCACCAAGAATTCCCAGGAGTACCTCCCCCCCCGCCCCCAGGGCTTGAGATTCCAGGGAGTGAAATGTTTAACTCTTTAAGCCACGATATCTTCACACAAATTCTCCACATTTATCTCCATTACACTTCCTTAAAGAATAAGTTGAAGAAATTTGATAAAAGATCAAAGCATTTTCGTTTTGATGATCATTATATTAATTCTTATAACTCCTTTTCTCTTGCTGATGTCATGTATTGATGTCGTTAGGTGAAAATTGGTGTTGGTCACTCTCAGTGCTCGGCTGTTTCTCTTTTCTCTTCCGCGCTTACAGGCTTGAGGGCTGTAAATGCTGTTATCTCAGTGTCACTGCACAAATTTGGTGGCATTCCTTTACGAACAGTAATGCCCAAGTCAATTAGGACGAACTTTATTTGGCGTTCCAGCGCTTCAAATATCCGCGGTCGGCGTTCGGATAATGTCTGATAATATTGGCCCATCATGACCAACGAAATCTTAACTATGTTTCGGACATGACAAACCGGACAAAGTTGGTAACAAAAGCTGCATTCACACCAAAGGTTTAAAATATCTAAAGGCTGTTAAGTTAAACACAGTTGAAATTTGTTTTCTTTGTAGACGCTTCTAATACTGTACTTTTATCGATTGCAAATTTTGTGCAAATACATAACGCCTTAAAGTTAATTCGAATTCTGCCTAAAAGTCTGCGGGAACTGTTCTTTTCTACCTTTTAGCAATGTGTATTTGATTTTTTAAAACCAGTTTAATTAAACATGTCTAGTTGGTGTGAATTGGGCAAAAGACTGCATGTATAATTTCCGGCGCAGGTGAATAAAATCTAGTTGAGCATAAATAGAAGTGGTGGAAACAGTGAGACTCTATTTAATAAATAATTATATCAAATTTATTTACTTAAATCAGGGTAACATCGCAGTATTAATAAAACTGATAAACTGACAATGGCCGCCAAATTAACCAAAAACAATAATCGGTGATAAAAACACAATATACAGTCGAGAACAAATATGAAACTAATTCCCCTCCAATTGATTATTAAATGACAAAAAAAATATTGACGAAAAACCAGTTTTTAAAAAATTTGTAAAAGAAAGCTTATTACCCTGCGAGCAGTGGTTTCTCCAGGCCGGACGCTACGCTACGAAGGGAGAGAAACCACTGCGAGCATCCGCCTGCTTCTTTGATCGAGCCGCCGTTCAGCGCTATGGACGAATAAATTAACTTCAAACATGTAAATCGTGTTTGAAAGCAAGTTTATGCTCTCGCGCATTTACTTAGGCTTACAATTGCTGCCTTAACGCGAGCCTGCTGTGGATATTCAGTATTTCTTTGCATGATTTATTCCTATCTACTTACTTTGTCAAATGTAGGCGAACGCAAATGGAGTTGAATTCCAAGGGACCATATCCAAGTTCAAGAGCGAAAAGAAGAAGAAATTTCGTCGTTGCTTATTTTCCTTTATCCATAAAACGCAAAATTAGGCATCTTCACGTCGTAGTCGTGCAAAAATGGCAAAGAAATGCAAAAATAAAAGCGTGATCACGTACAAAGTTGTTGTTTTCGTTATTAAACCTATTGTTTTGTTGAAGTTCTCGTTGCGTCGGATATTCGTGGTCATCACGTGGACGCGTGTGCTCGATGGAAAATTATAGTACATCCTGGAAATTAAAGTACTGCTGAATGATGACTGATTGCATAATAAATTGATTATATAAAATTGATTCAAGTAGTGATCGTTTTAATTGCTTTGCACCTGGGGTACGTTTCAGGTCAGCCTTGACCCTTTAAGCCCCAGTATCCACATACAAATTCTCCAGACCGATCTCTTCACATTTCCTTTAAGAATGAGTTGAGAGAATTTGATAAAAGATCAAGGCATTTTCTCTTAGGTGATCATTTTATTACTTCTCATAACCTAATCTCTTGACATTGTATGGATATCGTTAAGAGAGAATTGACGTTAGACACTATTGGGACTAAAAGGGTTAATCTTGTTTCATTCTTGTCAGGAATTGTTGTGACAAACAACATTATTGAAGTGAAAATATCGCAATAATCAGCCTGCCTGCGAATCACCTGCGTCCACGACCGTTACGTACGGCACCGGACAAATTTTCGACCGGTTAACGCGCTTAGGTGTTTCCACCTTAACCATGCGGAAATTTAGACGCCTAGCTGTTCAAAGTTTCGTGTGAGCAGATCGAAAAGATTGACCTGCGACGTGTGAACGAAATATCCGTTCAAATTCTTAAAAAGCCGTGTGAACTTCTCCGCAGAATATCCCGCCGCGATTCCAATACAAATTTAACATCGTTCTAGTTAATGCTTTCAGTTACGCAACTTGCAGCTATCTTACATTAAAAGAAAAAGGTTATCGTAATTCAGCCTCGGGCTATGTGGATAATTATAACAAACCATTTATCTAATCTATCTATATATCTAAGGTATATAAATATGTCGGGGAAGACATGTTTAATGATATTAAAGTATTAAGCGACCGAAAGCACTTGTAGCTACTGTTAATGTGTGGGGTATTTAAAAAGCAAATGTAGATTTGACCCATGAATCTTGAACTTCTTGATGTTCTTTTCATTTGACTGGTCAAAATCGAGTTAACATTCAAACCAAAATAAGACCATCACGTGATACAATTGCAACCACAAATGCGAAAAAGCTTTTGTATACAGGCTTTTGTATATCCCTCTTGCAGTGCTAAAAAAGACTCCTATTGAAGAAACGCCAATAACACATTGTTCATTATCGGTAAACATTTGTTGTTCAACAAACGGTGAGCGAAGTTGCTGTTCAACAAGTCGTAGCCTGCGGCGAAGCTCTCCATTTCGAGTGGGGAGTGGGGCGAGCAGAGCCGCGTCACGTGCCTCTTGCACGTGAGTTTTCACGATACGTGGTCTAAATCAAGAGCTTGCCTGCAGGCTAAACAAGTCAAACACGTCCCAACGTTTTCAACGGAGGAAAGCTCATCTCTGTTTACGTTCAACAGCGCTCAACATCTTAAGTGGTACATTTTAACATTCAACATGGCAATAAACAGTTCAAAATTTGTTGCTGCAACTTAACTGTTGTGAATCAAAAAAGTTGAAAACGTTCTGTACCGAGACGAAGTGCAAAGCGAGGTCACATAGATCCGTTATGGAATATAAGTTTTAACCCTATTTATGCCTTATTTTATTCAAAGTAGCATCGCCCTCGGCTGGTTACATAATTTTATGTTTTACACTAGCGAAAGCCGACTTTGGATAAATTTTTCACTGAGTTGCAACTTAAGTGGTACATTTTAACATTCAACATGGCAATAAACAGTTCAAAATTTGATGCTGCAACTTAACTGTTGTGAATCAAAAAAGTTGAAAGCGTTCTGTACCGAGACGAAGTGCAAAGCGAGGTCACATAGATCCGTTATGGAATATAAGTTTTAACCCTATTTATGCCTTATTTTATTCAAAGTAGCATCGCCCTCGGCTGGTTACATAATTTTATGTTTTACACTAGCGAAAGCCGACTTTGGATAAATTTTTCACTGAGTTGCAACTGCATTTTTAGTTAAACTTTAGCACATGAAAAAGTAGCGGGAGGGCGGGGCTGTTGAACGGTTAAATGTGTGCCCTTTCAATCGTGATTCTGTGGAACCTCGATATAACGAAAGGCCAAGGAACTGCTAAATATGTTCGCTATAAGAAGGTTCCGTTACTTCGAGGTTCTTTTCCATATATTCTACTATTACTGGGGCTTGGAATATCGTTCGTTATACCGGGGAATTCATTATATAGAGGTTCATTACATTCTGTAGACTGTTCACAGTCCCCTATTTTTTCGTGAGATCGTTTAGATATACCCCGTCTTACCGTCACGGCTACATCTTGATTTTCAAATGTACCGAGGGGACGGGCGCTCGATGATCTTACAGAAAAATAGGGGACTGTGACTAGTCTATAAATTCTGAGGTTCCTGTTTATATCTTAGTTAATACACTAAGTTCCGGGGTTTGAAGTCGTTTAGTGAAATTAGTGGGCATAGATTATATCCATCCTGGTCTAAAGGAATCTTAGTCATAGTTGAAATGTAGAAAAAAAGGTAGCAAAGAAACGCATATGTCCAATTTGCAAAGTTTGTCAAACGTTTCTGGACCGTTCCCCACCACGCTAAAACAAACGCTACCCTGGAATAGCAGACATTCGAACAACAACATCGAATCGAAGCTCCCTAATTTGGAGTAAACTTGGTTTAAATCTTTAAGCCTATCACGCTCACATGACGGTAAAATAGCTAAAATAAGTTTAAATATAGACAATTTGATCGTACCTTACTTTTCCTGACGGAGATTTTATCGCTTACCCTGCGTCGGGGTACTGATAGAGTCGTGTGAAATGAATCACAGCATCTTTCAATTAGTGTTAAATGTGCGTGACGTCTGCAATGAACACGCGTGGGGTGGAATGTCTAATGTACTCATCGCATAAGTAAGGCTAAGCAAGAAGGCTTTATTTCTGTATTTCCTGAATTTTTGGTGCAAATAGTCACTGCTGGAGACAGCATGGAAAAGCAAAATGACTTAATGGGGGCCTAATAAAGAAAGGTTCACTTAAAAGTGATTTCGTGCATAATCCAGTGCGTTTAGGATCACTGTATATTGTACCATATGTTCACGGTCTAATTGACAATTGTCAGGATTCCGCCTTTGCTCCAATTAATCTGAAACTTCCCGAAGCCAATGTTATACAATGAAATCCAAAGTACAATTTAAAATTCTTTGTAATGTTTCCAATGAATCATTACTGCTTGAATAAAAATTGATTGACACATTGCATGACTCAGGAAAAAAAAATTAAAAAGAGAAACTGATCATTACATTCCTGGCGCGAAATCGTCATTTTTGAACGCGCAAGTGCTTTACGAGGTGTCGACAAGGCACTTTGATACACGAGCTGTGTTATTAAATAAAATATTTCACAAAAAACCGGGTAGGCGCAAAGGAGCGTGCCCTCAGAGGCAGTTTGCCAATGAGCCAACAGCCAAGCGAAGAGAGAAAAAGCGCGAGAACTCAATATTCAGGTAACGATGTAAATTGTTAATACGTTCTACTCAAAAGAATAACTAAAGTGTATACAATACTTCACACTTTGAACAAGTTATTACCGTAAAACTTTCAAAAGGGAGACACTTCGAACGTATGATTATAATCTATGGTTTAATCGGTATTCCGCATAACCTCGACCTCGCTCATTTTCTTTATATCAATTTTAGAGGGTCTTGCGTCCTCCGCGCACTCTCCTTCACGTTGAAATTATATCCCCTTGACGGCCAAAGTATTACATAAATTAAAGAAAGTTAAGTACGCAGACACAACGAAAGCGACTTGTTGAAAAAGCAAGCAGGATGTTTAGTACAAGTTCAGTCGGCCCTTTTTTTTTTTCTAGACACTTGATCACCACTCGAACATTCTAGCATATCACTAAAATCATTACGAGCCGACCTTTTTATTTGTTTTATCTACGGACGGCGCCCCAGCAACATCCTTCACGAGCAAGCTAACACCAGTTCGTTCGTTCGTTCGTTCGTTTGTTCGTTTGTTTGATTGTTTGTAAGCTTGTTGTTGGTGTTTTGTTTTTCTCCTTTTGATTCGCTCTATATCGATGGATAAGAAACATTCGAAAGGTACGAAAGTAGGGAAATTATCGACTACTAAAAGTTATAAACGAAGTTATGCTTTTTCTCAATGCCTTCTCCCAAAAACGGATTTCATTCATTAAAACGAAATAAAATCAGAAGGCCTTTCAACTATTCCTTTGGAAAAATACCTCATTTTTAAATCTTTTATTATTTATCATTATTATATTAAAAGCCAGAGTATTTGAATTACGCTGTGTTGTGGCTACATTAGGAATAATGAATACAATCCGTTGCAACATACAGCAGGAAAGAGTTTCAGAGCCTAAAAATAGTTTTAAATAACAAAACAGGACCATTCTTTTTTGAAAATCAGTTAATAAGAAAAACGTTTTGGCTTTCTCAATGGGTAGAAAATAGCGTGACACGGCCCACTTTACATTCTCTTTCGACCTAGGTTAAGCCTCTACAAGTCGTCCTTTCGATGTTTATGTCTGTTGAAAGAAAATCCATTCATAATGCCGTCGAAAAAGGCAAGGAATGTTTCCTAATATAAACATGGATTCCTCAAGGTAAGGGGCCCACAGACGTCGTTTAAGATAAAAGAAAGCACTGCGTCTCTCATCAAGAAGCGACATCACCCTTAATGGCGGACAGCTACTTACGACCGCCTCCACAAAACCCCGTTTTCTCAACTCCCATACAAACTCTGTCATTTACATTTTCGTAAGCGGCAAGTTCCAGTTACGGACGTTTTTTTCGCTTCCCGAGGGTGTTTGTTCACGAGAGCGTCCACTTCATTTCTTTCGCACGATTTATTACAGTCAGCGTTTATTCAAACGATTCCTTATCACAGAATGAATTTCCCGTCGTTTGTTTAAACCGGAAATCCTCTCCTAAACAAAGGACCTCTTAAGATTATATGCTAAGATAACGAAAATACCAGACTAATTCCGGAAAAATTCCGGAAAAGTCGTTGTCCTGATGGAGTTGAGGCCGCTTATGTAAGCGTAATTCAAGTCTCCAGTTGGAACCTTGAGAATGTTAATTTTAGCAGACTCGCTTTACACTGAGTTTGCATGAAAGTAATTTTTTAAACTTTGATACGCGTAAAAAGCTGAAATTACTTAATTACAATGTTCCACCTTTAAACTGTAATCAACGAAAGTGTACTTTGACCTTAGTTTGGTTTTAGAGGTACAGTTTCGTATCTATTTCAGTACATGAATTGACCAACCGCCTAGAGGCAGCTTTGAACCCAACGAGAAGTAATAGAACTTTATTTTTGTCTGCGTGGTAGGCATTCCAGTGCGTACCAAGTGAAAACTTGGGACCAGACCAAGAACTTCTCAGGTGTAAGCTAGTAAGGGTATCACCCATTTGGATGATATATACTAGGTAATTTT